TCTCTCTCTCTCTCTCTCTCTCTCTCTCTCTCTCTCTCTCTCTCTCTGACAGAGTCTCTCTACATAGCCCTGTCTGTCATGGAACCCACTGTGTAGACCATTCTGGCCCCCCTCCAACTCACAGAGATCTGCTCACCTCTGTCTCCCCAGTGCTGGGATTAAAGGCATGTGCCACATACCTTCCGCACCCTCTCCCTCCACACCATCCTGAAATTTGCTATGGAGAACAGAAACTCACAGAAACCCTCCTGACTCTACTTCGAGGGGCTTGAAGAAGCTGGGCTACCATGCCTGTCCCCCCCCACCCCTTTTAAGGGAAGGAAGATCTATTGTCCTTCCGAGTTTGATGGGATGATGTGTGTTTAGAGGACAGTTGCTTGATCACTTCTTATGGTCCTACAACTTTCTAAAGTTAACTGGACAGAGGGTACAACTAGGCAATGAAATCAAAGACCATCTCTAAGCTTGTCTCAGGCAATGGTGTCTTGTTCTCGTCCACTCTTGGAGAGAGAGCCTGGAGGTCCCTCTTAACTTGATTCCATGAACCCAAGCAACTTCTTATTAATCCTGGATTGACAGCCTAGAAATAAAGGGATCAAGACAGACATGAAGTAAATGATAAATAAAATTCCTTCAAATAAGCAATCTATTGCAACCCCTAAGAGAAGCCAAAAGAAACAATGACTAGCATCATTGAAAGGAGCAGATGGAAGAAAGTCCTGGTCCTTAGTCCCTTAGGAACCCAGAAGGCCCAGCCAGTTATTTTGGTATGCTAATCTTGTCACTTTGCCTGAGGAATTTTCTGGAGGCTGTGTTGTAAATCTAGCAATTTTTCCTTAAGAGCCAAGCCTTCCAATAATCCTTTTATTGCTCAAGACCTGCCCAAAGAAAGCAAATAGCCAATGGATACTTTCCAAAGGAAGGCAGGCTAAAGTAAAATGATGGAAATTTTTTTCATCCCCCAAGATGGCTCTGCTCTCGTCAGTGTCTGTGAGCTTTCCAGGAATTGCACAGTCTCATGGATTGCTCGTTCAGCCCATCTCAGCCTTTCTTGAGTGAAATTGGATATTTCTACTTTAAAACCCGACGGGTGTGGTGGTACAGGCATTTAATCCTGGCACTGTCAGAAGTTGAGACCAGGCTGGGTTGTACTGTTAACAAACTACAGCAAATAGCAACTTGAAAAACAAATAAAGTTAGAATAATCCATAATTTCAATGTGCAGAGACATCTATTTCTGCTAACGAGTATTATTTACCCATTCTGTCTCTTAACTCTGTCTCTCATTTTGTGTTTGTCGGGTTTTTTTTCAAGTAGGCAGCAGGGGGTGATGTTGAGACTGTCCCAGAATCTGACATTATAGCCCATGCCGATCTAGAATTTGATAAATAGCCCAAGCTGGCCTCAGATTCTTGTGACAATCCTCCTGCCTCAGATTCCTGGGTGCTAAGATTGTAGGAAATATTCCTTTTATGGAGTGGACATCTCATGTATCTCAGGCTGGCCTCAGACTTGATTTTAGACAATGATGACCTTGGATTTCTGATCCTCTGCCTGTCTTACGAGTTCTGAGGTTATAGGCATGAGCTGTAAGATTTTATTTGATTTTATTTTGTGATAGGGCCTCCCTATGTAACCCTGGCTGCCCTGAAACTCACTCTGTAGACCAGGCTGGCCTGAACTCACAGATCCACCTGTCTCTGCCTCCCCAGTTCTGGGATTAAAGAGCTGGGCCACTAGACCTGACTCAGGATTGCTGATTCAGCTTCTTGAGTGCTGGGATTACCAGCATATGCTACCGTGCCTTCCTTTACTAATCCCTAATTATTATATAATGTTACACACACACACACACTAAACACACACCCCCATGCACCACACACACACCACACACGCACACTACACACACACCACATACACTCACCATACACACATATACCACACCACACACACACCACACACACACACTAAACACACACCCCGCACCACACACATGCACCACACACACACCACGCGCACACACACACACTAAACACACCCCCCGCACCACACACATGCACCACACACACACCACACACACTCACCATACACACATATACCACACCACACACACACACCACACACACACCATACCACATACAAACACACACCACACACATACCACACACACACATACCACACACACACACACACACACATACACACACACACCTTCCTCTGCTGAGAAAAATAATTAAAACTTTAAAAACAGAAATAGAAAAGCAAACATCTAAGCCTAGATTGGCAAACTAGCCCATGGGCCAAATGCATCAAGAAATATTTATTTTAGACAGGGTCTCAGTATGTAGTCCAGGTTGGCCTTGAACTCCGATTCCTCCTGTCTCAGATTGCTTAGTGCTGGAATTAAAGGCCCAGGACTCATCTGTTTTTGGATGAAACTGAACTAAACCTAGGTTTTATATTTTAAATGACTGGAGAAAAATCTGGAAGAAAAAAAAAGACCCATGAAAACAACACGAAAAGAACTTCTCAGTGAGCAGGAGAAGAGTTTTACACATTTCTCTGTGGTCGTGGCGCTGTCGTGGCAGAGCTGAGCAGCTACAACGTGCTTTTGCTAAAGAAAGTTCTACTCCTCCCGAGCTGAGGCCTCAGAGGATGGGCCGTGGCTTTAGTCTTCACTCAGCTATGTCTGAAGGCACCGTGGCTCCCACCTTAGGGATCCCAAGGGAGCGAAGCTTCGGCTTTCTAGCTGGCTAAGCTAGAAAGAGGAGGAAAGGGGTATTTAGGGGCAGGTGCTTTGCAAGCCGATTCTCAAATTTCTTCACACGGTCACCTGTGAAGAAAACTGTCGGCAGGTGGAGATCGTGGAGAGTGGGAAGCTTAAAGGGAGCCTGGGTTCTGATCAGAGATAGCCACACCCCATTCCCAAGCCCAACCCCACCCTAAGAAGGAGAAAATGGGGCCCAGAGACCTGGAAGAACTTGTCTGGAGTCAAGTATCAAGACATGTCTGTTTTTCAGGTCTGTGTTTTGCACAGCAAACACTCAAAAAGCTAAGGGTCAGGGGGCATGGCTTGGTTAGTAAAGTGCTTGTCTCAAAAACAGAAGGGCTTGAGTTCAATCCCTAAAACCCATTTTTTTTTTAATCCAGGCACAGCTGGGAGAAAGTGGGATAGAGGGAGGTGAGGGTACACATATTGTTAATCCCAGCACTTCAGAGGCAGAGGCTGGTGGATCTCTATGTATTCAAGCCAGCCTGGTCTACACGAGTTCAGGCCAGCTGAGGCTGCCACAGTGAAATCATGACTCAGAAAACAAAACAACCAACAGCAAAGGTCCAGGCGTGCTAGCGCTAGTGTGTGCCAGCAATCCCAGTGCTGGGAAGGCGGAGAGAACTGATTTAAGATCTAAAATTGTGAAGGTTCCCTCTGATCTTGCCTTCTTTGCTCACGTTCTCTTTCCTTCTGCTTCTCGTTTGGACCTAGGGAGTTAAGTCCAGTGTTCCAATGTGGGTCTGTCTCTATCTCCATCCATCGCCAGATGAAGGTTCTATGGTGATATGCAAAATATTCATCAGTATGGTTATGGGCCAAGGCTGGTTCAGGCACCCTCTTCTCTGTCCAGAGAACGATCTGGGGACCTCTCCTTGGACCTGGGATCCCCTTTATAATCTAGTCTCTTGTAAACCCTAAAATGACTCCCTCAGTTGAGATATATACTTCCCTGCTCCCATATCCATCCTTCCTCCAGATTGAGACAGAGACCCACATTGGAGCACCGGACTGAGCCCCCAAGGTCTAAATGAGGAGCAGAAGGAGGGAGAACATGAACAAGAAAGGCGGGACTGTGAGGAGTGCGTTCACTCACTGATGCAAGGGGACTGATCTAATGAGAGTTCACCAAGGCCAGTTGGACTGGGACTGAACGAGTATGTGATCCAACCAGATTCTCTAAATGTGGCCAGATTCTCTGAATGTGGCTGGCACGGGGTCTTTCTGAAAAGCCATTGACAATGA